TGCTGCTGCTGCTGCTGTTGCTGCTGTTGCTGCTGCTGTTGCTGCTGTTGCTGTTGCTGGTTGTTTTGCTGCTGCTTGTTGTGCTGATGCTGCTGCTGCTGCTGCTGCACGATATCCTCCTCCTGCTAACTGTTCCCCTGATTCTTGTATTAGGGCAACCGGGGCTTGGTATAAATTGCTTTCTAGGGTTTAGGGTTTAGGGTTTAGGGTTTAGGGTTTAGGGTTTGTGTGTTAGGTGTTGGTGTTCGTTCTGTTTGTGGGCGAATGCTTCGTTTCTCATTAAAAGAAACCTTCCCTTTATTAACCACTAAAAGGGTTTTCTGGAGAGGGTAAACCCTAAACCCTAAACCCTAAACCCTAAACCCTTAAACCCTAAACCCTAAACCTGTAAACCCTAAACCCTAATATCTTAATCAGTTGATAGATCCGTACGTCCTGTTAGGCAATTGTGTTAAATGCTCGCTTGCACCATTATATGGTTTAGGGATTAGGGTTTAGGGTTTAGGGTTTAGGGTTTGCGGTTATGTGCAGAGTTGTTGAGGAGTTGCTGTGGTTTATTCGTGGTGATACAAATGCCAATAACCTCAGCAAGCTCGGTGTCAAGGTGAGGGTTTAGGGTTTAGGGTTTAGGGTTTAGGGTTTATGCTGTCTTATCTGCTGATGTTACTTTTTTCTGTGCTGCAAAGACGGCCATGGCTGTATACCTAACAGCACAACAACTAAACCCTAAACCCTAAACCCTAAACCCTAATTTGTTGTCCTCTGCAGATATGGGACGCAAACGCTACCCGCGAGTTCCTTGATAGTCGCGGGCTACACCATAGAGAACAAGGAGATATCGGTAAACCCTAAACCCTAAACCCTAATTAAACCCTTCTCTCTAAACCCTAAACCCTCGTCACTGCCCTGGCCGAACTCTCAGACCGTACATTTAGGGTTTAGGGTTTAGGGTTTAGGGTTTAGGGTTTATTTGTAGGGCCGGTGTATGGATTTCAATGGAGGCATTTTGGTGCCAAGTACAAAGACATGCATACGGACTATACTGGTGAGTGTTTAGGCCTTAGGGTTTAGGGTTTGTGACATTGAATCTAGGGTTTAGGGTTTAGGGTTTAGGGTTTAGGGTTTAATTTGCAGGGCAAGGAGTAGATCAATTAAAGGATGTAATTCATAAACTAAGAACAAACCCTTATGATCGTCGTATCCTTATGACGGCATGGAACCCAGCAGGTAAGGGTTTAGGGTTTAGGGTTTATGTTGTAATTATTTCCCTTTCCCTCTCTCCTATCCCTGATTAACTCTCTAGGGTTTCCGTTCCCTAATCTAGGGTTTCCGTTCCCTAATCTAGTGTTTAGGGTTTAGGGTTTAAAAGAAAAAAAAAAAAAAAAAAAAAATAAGGGTTTAGGGTTTAGGGTTTAGGGTTTAGGGTTTAGGGTTTAGGGTTTAGGGTTTGTGTGCAGCATTATCTGAGATGGCATTACCACCATGTCATGTATTATGTCAATTTTATGTTAGTAATGGTAATATATCTTGTTGTTTATATCAACGTAGTTGTGATGTAGGTTTAGGTCTTCCTTTTAATATAGCTAGTTATTCATTATTATTATTAATTATAGCTAAATTAACTAAACTTATTCCTTCTTTTTTTATTCATTTTATTGCTAATGTACATATTTATAATAATCATCTTATTCCTCTTCAAAAACAAATCAAAAGAATACCTAGACCCTTTCCTATTGTTAATATTAAAGGAGATCCTAAGGTAAACCCTAATAAACCCTAAACCCTAAACCCTAAACCCTAAACCCTAAACCCTAAACCCTAAACCCTAATAAACCCTAATAAACCCTAGTAAACCCTAATAAATCCTAAACACTAGAAAAGATATAATCAAATGTTACATTCTTCTTCTTCTCTTTGGTGCCAACAGAAACTAAAACCCTCAATTATACAATATAAACCCTAGCTAAACCCTTGTATACCCTAAACCCTCGTAAACCCTAAACCCTAAACCCTAATTCATAAACCCTAATTTTTTATTATTTATATATGCATGTATGCAGGAGATAGAAGATTTTACTGCAGATAGTTTTGAATTAATTGGTTATAATCCTCACCCTACAATTAAAATGGATATGGCTGTCTAAACCCTAAACCCTAAACCCTAAACCCTAAACCCTTGATCCTTTTTAGAGTTATTCATGGAGGCCAATAAGGTCTTTTTATGTATTGAGGGTTTAGGGTTTACAGGAGGGAGAAAAAACACAAAAGGGAAAACAAACAGAAAAACATATTGACTATTTGCTGCTGCTGTTGCTATAGCGCATGCAACAGCTGCTGCTGCACCTGCTGCTGCTGCTGCAGCAGCAGCAGCAGCAACCGCTGGGGCTCTGCTGCTGTAGCAGCAGCAAGCTATTCTTGCTGCTGCAAGAGCAGCAGCTATTCTTGCTGCTGTAACAGCAGCTGTTTTTACCACAGCAAACATTGCTGCAGCAGCAATGTTTGCTTCCTTCAACTGCAGCAGCTGCAGCAGCTGCTGCAGCAGCTGCAGCAGCTGCTGCTGCTGCTGCTGTCTATAGTTTGAGGTCGTCAGCGAAGGCGTTAGGCCGCTGAAAGTTTCTTAGAAGCATCTTTGTCCTCCGCACTTCTGCTGTTTGCTGCAGTTTCTTCTGTTGCTGCTGCTGCTGCTGCAGTTCCTGTTGCTGCTGCTGCTGCTGCGGTTGTAGTCCTCGTCGCTGCATTCTCCTTATAACTAAACGCATGTAGTCTTCCTTCGTCCACAGTTTGCTGCTGTCAGCAGCAGCAGGATCAGCAGCAGCAACAGGTGGCGAAGTTGCTGCTGTTGCTGCTGTTGCTGCTGCTGCTGCTGCTGGTGATTGTTTGCTGCTGTCTTCTTCATCCATCTCATCATCTGAATCGAAGAACCACGCTACAGGTTCCTGTTGCTGCTGCTCTTGTTGCTGCTGCTGTTGCTGCTGCAGCTGTTGTTGCTGCTGTTGCTGCTGTTGCTGCTTCCTTTGGCTTCGCTGCTGTGAGACTTCACCCGTATCCGCAGCAGCAGCAGCAGCACCGGCAGGTGCAGCAGCAGCAGCAGCAGCAGGCGGTCTGCTGCTGCTCTCGTCTCTCATTTCCTTAAGGAAGGCTACCGTCTCCTTGCTAATGCCTACAGCAGCATCTGCTGCACCGTCTGCAGCAGCACGAGCAGCAGCAGCTGCTGCTGCAGCAGCAGGAGGTGCAGCATAGAAGCCATGGCTTCCTCCTGCAGCCCAAAGAACACCACTAAAGAGGGGACCCTCCTTCAGATGTGTCTGCTGCTGGTCCTGCTGCTGCTGCTGCTGCAGCTGCTGCTGCTCCTGCTCGTCATCCTGTTGCTCTTGTTGCTGCTGTATGTCGAACTCGTCCCGTTCTTGCTGCTGTTGCTGCTGCTGTTGCTGCTGCTGTTGTTGCTGCTGCTGTTTCCTTCTCTTCCTGAGTGACCTCTTTTGTGAAAAGAGATGCTCAAAACTCGGCTGCTGCTGCTGCTGCTGCTGCTGCTGCTGCTGCTTCTGCTGCTGCACTGCAGCACGAAACAGCTGAGAGGCGAAGCACATGTCCTCAGGCCCAATTATATTGCATACCCAACCCCCTCCTAGCAGACCTCCGTAAGCAGCAGCAGGCGTTGCTGCTGCTGCTGTCCCAACTGCTGCAGCAACACATCAGCAGCAGCAGCAACAGCAGCAACACATCAGCAGCAGCAGCAACAGCAGCAACACCATTGTATACATCAGCAACAACAGCAGCAGGAACATCAGCATCAGCTGCAGGATAACAGCAGCAGTAACAATAAAAAAAACAAGACAGAGCAGCAGCAACAGCAACAGCAGCAACAGCAGCAGCAGCAGCAAGAGGTTACCTGGAGCAGCAAGTGCTGCTCTCCTTAAGTAAGCAGCAGCATCTGTAGGGAAATTAAAATTAATAACATTTGCTGCTGCTGTTAGTTGATTTGTTTGTACTAATAAATCTGTTGCTACTAATATAACTCCTCCTGCTGCTGCTGCTGCTGCTGCTGCTGCTGCTGCTGTTGCTGCTGCTGCTGCTGATGCTGAGTCTGGAGAGGGTGCTGGTTCATCTGCTTGATCTGAATCTGCTGATGGATGTGCAGCAGCAGCAGCAGCAGCTGCTGCTGCTGCTGCTGCATTTGCTGCTGCTGCTGCTTCTAGGCGGCGGCGCATAGACATTTTCTTATGGTATGCAGACACAGGCCATCCGTGCTGCTGCAGCAGACGCACAACTTCTTTGCTGCTGCTAGTGCTGCTGCAGAATACAACAGTAAGTGCAGCAGGTATTTGCTGCAGCAGCAGCAGCAGCAAATTAAATCGTTCCTTAAATGCAGCAGCATGCAGCAGCTGCTGCTTATCTTTTTGTAGATCGAGCTCAGCAAGTGTATCTAGCAGCAACTCTTGCTGCTCCTCCTGCTGCTGCTGCTCTTTCTGCTGCTGCTTCTGTTGCTGCTGCTGCAGTTGCTGCAGTTGCTCCAGAGTCTTTATTCTTGTTTTGCTCCGATTGGCGTTGTGTTGTTGTTGTTGTTGTTGCTGCTGCTGCTGCTGTTGCTGCAGTTGCTGCTGCTGCTGCTGCAGCATCTCCTGCTGCTGCTGCAGCAGCTGCTGCTCCCTGCGCAGCTCATCCCATGCAGGATATTGCCTGTTATATTCCTTAAGAACATCTTTATCATTAATACGTAGCCATAGCTGCCGCTGCTGCTGCTGCTGCTGCTGCTGCTGCTGCTGTTGCTGCTGCTGCTGGGGGGCGTGAATATGAGCAGCAGTACAGAAACGCTCCAGCAGCAAGACACCGCTGCTGCAGGGACCACCAAAGGAGACAGCAGCACCAGTAAATATTAATTGGGTAGGAGGTAAGGGACTAGCCTGCATGCATACACATATATACAATCCATCTGCTGTTGCTGTTGCTGCTCCTGCTGCTGTTGCTGCTGCTGAGGGTGTTTGTTGCTGATGGTGCTGCAA